CCGCTGGCCTGTAAATGAGTGAAAACTGCAGAGTTCTGGCCATTAGATGTAGCTCGTCTGTGTTGGGACAATAGGTGTTAATTAGCTGTCAACGATAGCCATGTGATGTATCAGTCACATGGAGGCAGGGCTTAAAAGCTTGAATTTTGCCTGAAACTCTCAGACTGAAGAAGTCTCTTGGAGGAGAGACGTAAGGTTTCATTAGAGAAGAACCCGTCCAGAAGACCTTTACAATTTTTTTCTTTTTGATTTTTTACTTGGATTACTGAGATCCATCAGGACGTTATGAAACAGTAAGTTTCTCAGTGGACCTGTGCTCAAAAATGCAGCCTAGGTGGAGTAGTCGAACACAGATCACTGATCCTTCAACACAGAGCATCTTCAGAAGACAAATTGCTAAAGTAAATTTTAAAAATCTGTATTTTTTGATACAAGTGTGTACTGAACCTAAAGCTCTGTTTGATACGGTTCGATACGGGTACATGTATTGTTGCACCCCTAATTAAAACATATATGTATTACTTATATTTAATATTTTAAAAGTAATTTCCTCCAGTTTAATCTCATTGATGACTATAATCAACAAGTATGGATTACTTAATACATATTTTTTCTTATTATAAAATGATTTTAAAACCATTTTGAAGGAAGAAATCTTTTTAAAAGCTATCTGAAAACAGTCTGTTTCATCTCAGTCCTGATGTCTGTTCTCAGGTCTACAATGCCATTGAGAATCTTGATGACCACGTTCTCAGATACGACCTTGAGGGTTTAGAGAGGACTCTGAGGAGGGAGATGTTTGGGCAGCACGGAGCGGTAGAGGGTCTGCTATCTCACCTGAAGGAGTACCTGTCCACGTATGTTCACAACAAGCCCCTGGTGCTATCTGTGCATGGGCCCATTGGAGTAGGAAAAAGCCACCTGGGCCGCCTCCTGGCCGGACATTTCCGCTCTGTGGTGGGCGACACGTTGGTGCTGCAGTACTACGTTCTCCACCACTGCCCCCAGGAGGCAGACGCTGTGCAGTGCGCTCGCAACCTGTCTGCTCTCATCACAGACATAGTGGAGCGAGCAGAGGAGGAGGAGAAGATCCCGCTCTTCGTCTTTGACGAGGCTGAGCACATGCATGTGGAGATCCTGGACATGTTGTTGCATGTTGTCACCTCCAAGCAATCCAATGAATACCTGAACGCCATCTACCTATTTCTGAGCAACCTGGGTCACACACACATCACTAAACACATGCTGCAGAACTCCTCAAGTATTTATATGGCCATGACAGCCTCAGGGCGCCACAGCAACTTGCTGAAAGAACTCACTCCAATATTACGTAACATCCTGGAGAAGCTTCACCCCCTGTGGACAGAGGCAGACATCTTACCTCTGAGCCTTCTGGAGAAAAGTCACGTGATGGAGTGCTTTCTGGATGAAATGACACGAGAGGGCTTCTACCCGGATTATACCAACATCGAGCGTCTCGCAGGGGAGATTGAATATTACCCGGCTGTTGCGGGGCGTGAATATTCCCAAACAGGCTGCAAGCAAGTGGTGGCAAAGGTCAACCTGTTGTGAAACTCCAGCAGGAATCTTTTCATTCCTTTTAGATTTTGAAGAAGCCAATTGTGAGAAAAGTGAGTGAAGCAACACTGTTATGAAACCTGAGAAATGTCACAACCCAGAGCCAAAGCTTTCAGTAAGAATGAAGAAAATAATGATTTGTTGATGAGAGTTTGGGTGTAAAACTGCTGAGTTGAAGTCAGTCCTGTGAACATGTTTGAGGGGATTATAAACACTCCTCCAAAGGGCCAGTCCACTCAATTATCCTATATCTTATTATTTACCATTATTAGTTTAAAACATTTTTTATTTGATTTTATTTTATTTATTTTTACATACAAATCTTACATGTACAACTCAACAAATAATGCAAAACTGTGTGCAAACAGTTCAACAGCCATTTCACTTAATGAGATTTTTTTTAGCAAACATTGCTTTACTATGTAACAAAACTGAATGAATTTTTTTATTTTGAAAATAAATAAATTGATGAATTTGTACAATTAATTGTTCACACTTTTGTTCACAGATCTCTTACCCGTTGACTTTACTTGTGGAGCTTTCAGAGGCTCAAACCTTCTGCCAAAGTGGATGAAATTGTTTTTGCCCATGCCTGTCTGTCTTTTAACAAAAATATCCCAGAAATCACTGATGGCTTTTATTTTAATTTTCCAAAGGCAATCTTTGAATGTATATTTATAAATGATTCACCTTTGGTATCAATCCAATTTAAGATGGTCGCAACAATTAATAAATAGGCTACGAATAAACACAAAAATAGCTTAAACTCAGTAATTTTTTTTACAGGTATTGATCTAAAATAGTGGCTGAGATTCATCCTCAGCTCATACAGAACATGACATCTTTGGTTGGTTGTTTGAGGTGTTTTTTGTTTTAAAGAGTTAATGTGCAAAAGGAGAGATGAGCTGCGTTTCCATTGACCATGAAAATGCGCAAATTAGAATTTCGAAAATAAATTTGCTCAATGAAAACACGTGAATTTCGGAAAAAAATACGTTTTTCGACAAAATGGTTTTGCGCTAGGATGAGGTGGTTTTTTAGTATCGAAATTTATGTTTTTCGCAAAACTGCAATGGAAACACTTTTTGCATCACGTGATCAAGAACCGGCTGTTTCTACTAGTGAAAAGACAATGAAGAAGAAGACAACAGGAAGTAGAAGTAGTAGTAAAATCACAGAAGTGGTAAAAAAAGTAGTAAACTCACCGATTACAATTTCCCAAAAACGCCACATACATAGTTGCTCGCAAGTATAAGAGGCAATTGTGTCTCGAAACCAAGACACTGACGTCTCCTCTGATGATGAGCGCTAGTGTCGTGGTAGCAACATGCTATGTGTTTACATCCATCGCTGCCATGTTTGTAATGACTTATCACAAGAACAAACGTATTCACGTGTGACTTTAATAGCATTTCTTACTTAATGGAAACACTGCAGTTGCGAATCTGTTTTTCGACATTAACAGAATATTGACAAAGTTTTGCGCACATTTACAGTGGAAATGCAACCATGGAAACACATCTGCCGAATAAATCATGACTTAGTGAACGTTTACCTCACATGGTTGATCAGCTGTTCCTGCTGTCTGGTACTGGTACCAGCTTCGGCTCGGCTGCACCCACAACTGCAACTGGACCCTCCTCCTGCTGTCTGTCTGGTACCAGCTTCGGTTATTCCCGTAACATGAAGAGAATCACATTTCTTTTTCTTTGTCTCCAGACAGCATGTAACATCGCCAAAACTAGTTCATAACAGAAAAATTACGATGTTCCAGATAGTAGCAACACGTTTCTGATAACTTCTCTCCGTTGTCCTCCAACTTCTACTTCCTGTTTCCTACAAACCTGCGTCTGACTTGATGACACTTTGCATAGCCTGGCTGATACACTCGAATTAAAAAAAAATCCTGTATCCGCATTGTGGTCTGGATCATCACCAAAATTTAAAGTTGTGTTCCTTCGGCCAGTACCCACCTGCGATAAAAATTTCATGAAATTTCGTCCATAAGTTTTTGAGTAATTTTGTCAACAGACAGACAGACAGACAGACAGACACAACCGAAAACGTTACCTCCTCCCTTGGCGGAGGTAAAAAAAATACTTTGGTGATGTCCATTTAACAAAATATCATGTGGTGCAACCATCAAGAAATTCCCATTTTCTTTACCTACATTTTGAAATCCAATCAAAAACAGGAAGTTACATCATCTAACAGTTTGCCAAGAATCCTTGGAGACAGCAAGGAGATTTGTTAATCTTTCTTAAATTTCACAAAAAGTGTCACTTTTAGCATTTGGTATGCAGTCACCATATTTGGATATCATGTGGTATGATCTCAAAAAAAAAAAAAGATTAACCCTCTCATGCAAAGAGGTCACTACAGTGTAGAGCTGTTTAAAAGTGTTTTGTTCTATATGCTTGCAGTTTTGGGCAGTGTTGCATATAATCCACTCTAGTGGAAGCTATTACATCATCCCATACAAAAAAAATCCTATTGGCTCATTGCAATGGGAAAAAATAGTCAGTGAAACCAAGATGGCTGACAGATGGGGTGAACGACCAAACACTCGGCTATTTCAATTTCTACCTTCCATAAAAAGATACCATTGCAGGTAAAAAAAAAATATGATTACATCAAGTAACATCTAAAGGGACATATTATAAAAAGATTTTCCAAGTTTTGAGTTTGTATTTGTAGAAAATACAGATCAAACACATGTCCACTCACTTGTACATCATGCATCACTGGCTAGATTTTAACTTCAATGCAATATCAGATATTACCAATGTTGTTCTTGAAAATAATTCATATCCCATACAGTTTTGGTTGTAAATCAACTTTATAGTATTATAATGTAGTTCGATTTTCTTATATATAAAACCTTATACACTGCCTGGTCAAAAATATTATACATGCTATATGCTCAGTTCAGAGACTTAACAAGAATACATTCTGATAAAAACAGTTACCGTTATTGATTCTATGAGGATTTACAGTTCAGAGTAGGGCTGCACGATATCAAGAAGACCTGTGATGTGTGATAACAGTGCTTAATGACAATGACGATATGACTTGCGATAAACGAACAATAAGTATGTAGCATTGATGTTTTCTGCTCTGGGTTCTGAGCAAAAAAACAAAGAAACAAAACTAATCATTTTCATTGTAGTATGAATTTTTAAAAATATGAAGAGTAATATATGAAGGGCTCCATTTGATTGGTGAAATACTTAAAGCTTCCGTCTGAGTGACAAAACTCATAAATGCAAACAGTTTATGCATTTGTTGCAATGTGCATATTGCACAAGGAGTTATTGCGATGATGATAAATTTTCGATGTATTGTGCAGCCCTAGTTCAGAGAGTGCGACTTCTGTCACACTATCCTCCTCAGTTCATAAAGAATGTATCTTTATTTTTTAACCTTGTTTTACATCCCTAAAGACGAATAAAAACACCTGGTGAAAACATAATTTTATGTTTACGTTTATCAATAGAGCTGAAATAGAGAGGACTACAGAGGAGTGGAGGAACCACCATTCCAACAGAATACCATTTTACAACTCCATCCATCCATTTTCTTCCGCCTATCCGGGGTCGGGTCGCGGGGGCAGCAGCTTCAGAAGGGAGGCCCAGACCTCCCTCTCCCCAGCCACTT